AGCTTAGTGCCAGATGCGACTTAAGAAAATCGCGTTTATTGTTCAGTTTTTTTTTTTATCTTGATGGTTTTAATGTGATCGGTAGCTCGAGACGTCACATACATTTACCACAAACATAACCACATACATAGAGCATATACATACAGCACGTACATACAGCACGCATATACATACATACACCACATATATACACCAAATACATGCACCACTTTCAGACATATACATACATACATACATACACATAATACATATTTCAAGTACATACATATTATGTATACACAACATACAAATATAGACGCCATACACACACCACGTCCCCACATACACACACTACATACACAACATACAAACATACTTTCACAAATGTAACTGTTTTATTTCAACTTAGCGTTAAAATTGTTCATGTTTTTGTTCGAACTGATGCTAGACCACTGTGGTTGTGATTCTGCTGTTTGCTTTGTTTAGTTGGGTTTTTTTTAATTAAAAGAAAGGAGCTGGTTAATTACGATAATTGGAGGGGAGATAACGATGTCAGTGTTAAGTTACTCACCCAATTCAAGTGACCACGGGTCAAAAATAGTTTCTTCATTTCTAAAGTCACAAATACAAATGCCATCCGCAGTGTCATGACATTTCTATGGAAGTGTCACGATAGAGTTGCCAAATTGGAATACAATAGAAATACTTTATTTCAACTAACAAAATGTATATCTAGTAATGTCATCTTTCAATCTTTCAGTTACTAAACTGGAATTAAAAAGCCAAAATGGAATTTTAAAAAAAGGCCATTCTTCAATTAACAAAATGGAATTTTTAAAAAGCCACCTTTTAGTTACCAAAATGGAGTAAAAATGTCATTCTTCAATTGACGAAATGGAATTTTAAAAGCCATTCTTCGGTTACCAAAATGGAATAAAAAGCCATCATTTAGTTACCAAAATGGAATTAAATAGCCATCATTTAGTTACCAAAATGGAATAAAAAAGCCATCCTTTGGTTACCAAAATGGAATAAAAGCCATCATTGGTTACCAAAATGGAATAAAAAGCCATCATTTAGTTACCAAAATGGAATAAAAAAACTATCATTTAGTTACCAAAATGGAATCAAAAAGCCATCATTTAGTTACCAAAATGGAATAAAAAAGCCATCCTTTGGTTACCAAAATGGAATAAAAGCCATCATTGGTTACCAAAATGGAATAAAAAGCCATCATTTAGTTACCAAAATGGAATAAAAAAAACTATCATTTAGTTACCAAAATGGAATCAAAAAGCCATCTTAACCTGCCGGAAACCAAATTGTAGCCCCGTGCCCAGAAATAACATAGAGCGTCTCGTACTTTTACATGGAAGCTGAGGCGAGGCTAAGCGATAATAGCTTGATTAGTCCAAACCAGGAAGGACCAGGACCTATAGCTCCCAGAGGCGCCTCATCTTCAGACGAATAAATCAACAGGCAGACCTGTAAACCATTCGCAAATTGCGAGGGGACACCGGCAATTCTAGGGCTCGTTTTATATCAAATATAGGAATTCGGACCAGTTAAGTATACTTTTTTGCACTAAAACGGAACTCCACACATTTTTAGGTAAAATGAATTTTTTTAATCTACTCGATCGATCGGATATTTATAGGTTTGAACGCTTCTTCAAAAAATCGATAATTCTCTCTCCACATCGGGAAGACTTAAGCCTACAGGTTTTAAGAGAAACGGAGTGAAAGGCGGGTGTTTGAGAAACTTCAGTTGAAAACACGGAACGGACGGTAAATTCTGGAACAATTAACGGGGAGGGTGGGGTGGGGAATGAGGGGGTGGGGGTTGTTGAAACAGTGCGGAAATGAATACAGTGAATTTTAAATACGTTTGAACGTTGGTAAAAGTAAAATTTATTTTAAAAGACAGTAGAAAAGATAGATTGAGTGTGTTTAGGGTAACCGCTCTGTTGATACGTATTTTAACACGGGCGCTTCTAATATAAAATGAGATGTCAATACTGTTTTATCCTGTTGTTACTTTTCATTACCTTTTCTGGAATTCGATATTACGGTTTTAAAAAATGGTTGTTGTGATGATTTGTAAACTGAAGTATAGTATGGGTGTATTTTCGACTCCTGCATAGCTGCACCTTCCCTTCACCCAGATCCGCCACTGATAGGTCAAAGGTTACTCGCCATCCGGGTGGTAACAAAGTCGGTGACGACCAACTCGGCGACGGGAAAAATGGGCGACGGGAAAAATGGGCGATGACCGTGTCGGCGTAACATTTATTTGGGTGACAAATAAGTTTGGTTTTTATATCTTTTAAATATTGTTTGTGAATATTTTTTCATCGATAGACTAGTTTATAATAATCGATTAGATGACATAGAAACATTGCAGCTAATGCAAGAATAGGCGTATAAATACGTATCTCGACAAGGTAAGGATTGGGGGAAAGTGTCCTATTTGATCTCATATAAAGTTAAAAAAAAATAATTTTTTAGGATAAATAAAAAAGGCTCTAGATCGTATACTGAAATAGAATTGTCTTTTCGTCCAGAACATCGTAATTTAACTCCAACCATTTTTTTTAAATGCATTAGGCCCATCTAATTGTTTGTTTAACAAATTAATATGTTTCTTTCTAACAATCGCCATGATTGAAACTGTCAAGTAATCGCCCAGATGGTAACTGTCCAGTAATCGCCCAGTTGGTAACTGTCCAGTAATCGCCCAGTTGGTAACTTCCAGTAATCGCCCAGATGGTAACTGTCAAGTAATCGCCCAGATGGTAACTGTCCAGTAATCGCCCAGATGGTAACTGTCCAGTAATCGCCCAGTTGGTAACTTCCAGTAATCGCCCAGATGGTAACTGTCTAGTAATCGCCCAGATGGTAACTGTCCAGTAATCGCCCAGATGGTAACTGTCCAGTAATCGCTTAGATGGTAACTGTCAAGTAATCGCCCAGATGGTAACTGTCAAGTAATCGCCCAGATGGTAACTGTCCAGTAATCGCCCAGATGGTAACTGTCCAGTAATCGCCCAGATGGTAACTGTCCAGTAATCGCCCAGTTGGTAACTTCCAGTAATCGCCCAGATGGTAACTGTCTAGTAATCGCCCAGATGGTAACTGTCCAGTAATCGCCCAGATGGTAACTGTCCAGTAATCGCCCAGTTGGTAACTTCCAGTAATCGCCCAGATGGTAACTGTCTAGTAATCGCCCAGATGGTAACTGTCCAGTAATCGCCCAGATGGTAACTGTCCAGTAATCGCCGAGTGGTCAACATGGCATTGACCTAGCTGACTGTGCTTGTAGTTACGTTCAGTTAAAAAGTTGTAAACAAATACACCCCCACCCCTTCCCCAACTACCGTGAGCAGCGTTTATATATAATATGTAGGCTAATATACAAAAGTACTTTCTTCTCCTTCCCCCCCCCCCACACCCTCCCTTCCCCCATCCCCACCCCGAGTTACGCCGCTGATGCTGTTAATCACCGTTGTCTTACCTCAATTTCAGGCCAGGAACCACGTGATTCCCCGGCAGGATGGAGAAAAATGCACCGATATCATGCATCACGCGCTGATCACTACAAAATGTGGATTATCTATTTCCGATGCATCTCGCTGTCCCAGAATCCCTTTCGTCACTTCCTCGACAGCCCAGTGCATTACGGCATCAAACTTTATCGGGGGGGGGGGGGGGGTGATGTAATCCAGTTAGTGTCTGAGGCTGTGAACTTTTTTATCTGGAACATGTTCAGAGCTTCACCCAATTATCTTGTTTGTTTAATTGTTAAACACGTTCTATTCAGCCGGTAAAAAAATTGATTGGGTTAATTTTAATATTAATGAAATTTAAAAATGTGTATCGGGGAAAAGAGGATGAGGGGGGAGGGGGTAAGGGTCAATGACAGATTGCAGAAATGACGTCACGAAGCGCAGGAATTGCTGCTGCACTCATTCTCTTCCAATTAGTCTTAGAGTGACGCCGTGTTTGCCGTCATATATATATATATATATATATATATATATATATATATATATATATATATATATATATATATATATATATATATATATATATATATATATATATATATATATATATATATATATATATATATATACAGAGAGAGTGAGTGTGTGTGTGTGTATGTATATATAAAAAAAATTAGGGGTTAGTTAAGCTTGCGAAGACACAAGAACGTTGAAAACAGTCAATAACTAGCACTATTGATCTAAAACAGGGCTGATCAGCCTTACAATCATCACTAGAGGACAGAGGCGTAGTGACCCTTCCCGGGGACAAACTTTCAATTTGGCGCCCCACCTCGGAATCAGCCTTTCAACTTTTGTTTTGCACCCCCCCCCCCCATTTATTTTATATTTGTATTACAAAAAATGCAACTAAAATGAGATTTTAATTTGATTTTCCAACCCATTTTGGCGCCCCCCAAAGGTCGGGGCCCGGGAACATATGTACCCCCCACCCCCCTACGCCTCTGCTAGAGGAACTAACACAACAATAACTTAAACTAACCTTTGGCGTAGATTATAATTTAGCTAACATTACAAATTTAACCTTCGATTCCATTCAGTCCATCTAACTTCTGACTCCTTTTTAAATTATTTTTCAAAAACATCTATTTCATTTTGAGCTTAGACGTCAGGAGAGTCGAAATAGAACATTTTTTAAATGCAGGGGAAGCAACCGCTATAATCCGACATGTATCAGAATATAATATATCAGTTGCGCCCCTTTATTGTATATACCGCTGGCAACTATTTCCGTCAAAATATTTTATTTTATTGTAGACTTGTGTGGTTTAGAAAAAACAGCCCAGCATTATGACAGTTTCTCAATGTTAACTACAATACAGCCTGTTAAATTTGATCATCAGTAATAACTGCTGTTCTCTATAGAACAGCCTGTCTACAAGTACCTTCAGCATTAAGTCTTTAAAAGTATTTCATAAAGTATATTATAAGGCAATAGACATTGTGACTTCTACAATACATTTATTACAACAATTTCAGTAATTTTAGTTTTGATAAAACAATTTGCTTTAATACATGCAACAATGTAAAAAATAATATATCAACATTATAAACTTTATATTCTGGGCCACTGATGCTTAGATATGGAAAAAAGAAATTTTTTTTTTCTTTGAAGTTCGTATAAGCACTGAGTATTGCAGTGATAAGTTAGTCTCTTATAGCCATGGTTTAACTCATGAATTTGAACCATATAACTTTTAATCAGGGTTTAACCCCATGAACTTGAACCATAGGACTTTTAACCAGGGTTTAACCCCATGAATTTGAACCACTTTTCATCAGGGTTTAACCCCATGAATTTGAACCACTTTTAATCAGGGTTTAACCCCATGTATCTGAACCATATGACCTTCCAACCCTTTTTGTTCTGTAAACCTGCGCCGGCACATTTTACAACTGTAAGGTCGACCTCTTGTCCCGGTCAGCATGAGGCGCTGGCTGACGTCCTCCAGGTCTTTGATGGACATCTTAGTCTCATCCTCGCTGTCTGCCTCCGTCTTCCTCCTCTTCCTCACAGGAGTCTTGTTCTCCTCACTCGCCTCGGCCTCTTCCTCTAGAAACTCCTCGCTTGTTTTATCCAACTCAGTTGAACACTGCGAGGACTCTGAGGGGTTCTCACATTTGGTTTTATGGCTGGGCGTGTGCGCACGCAGGCTGGAGATGTGAGTGAAATCTTTGTTGCAGACCTCACACTTGTACAGCCTGACGTGAGAGCTGGCATGGATCTTCATGCCGCGGAGAGTGGAGAAAGTCCTCTCACACTCTGGGCACTGGTACTTTCCCTTGTCCTCTTTCAGGACCAGCAAGGTCCTGGTGAGGCTGGGGTTGGAGGAGCTGGTTTTCTCGCTATCACCAAGTACACTGGCGTCCAAGTCCACACTAGGGAGCTCAGATTTATCCTCGGACACATCCCCAGGCTGGGAGCTCAACAGTTCAATTTTATCAGAAATTTCTTTCATGATTTTTTTAACTTTTTCTTGCTGCTCGCCTACGGCCTGTGAGTTTTTTAAAGTAGCAGCCAGCTTCTGGGAACTGTCAATTGGAATTCCCAGACAAGATCTCTGATGTTTGATGGTCAGGTGCTTGTCTTCAAACACAACATTGCAGTACTTGCATGGCGTACTACGAGCAAATGTGTTCACATGCCTCAGCAGGACGTCGTAGACAGTGAACTTTTTATCACAAGGCTCGCAAGTGTACGTCGTTGCACCAGTAGCCTCGTTGTACTCTGTGAGTATAGGAGGATCATAATGACCGTCAGATTCTTTTGTCTCCACAGCACTGTCTCCCTTCTCTTGGCCGTCATTGACTAGTTCATTGTTCACAGGTTCAACCACTTTGAGAATTGAACTATTCTTTGATTTTTTCCTGGAACACTTTTTATTGAAGTGATCAGTGAGTAGATACCTCCTAGAGAAACCTTTATGACACACCTGGCATACATACGGCTTGGTGTGGTTCATGGAGTGTTTCTTGAGCGCATGCTCGTTGGTGAAAGACTTGTGACACACCCGACATGGAAACGGTCGAACATCTTTATGCTGCCTGATATGAAACTGCATGAGACTTTTCTGGAAGGATTTCATTGTTTTCCCACAGATATCACACTGGATAATTTTCTGGTTAGGGAGCTCTGTAATGTCCTTCATCTGGTCCTCCCCGTCCTCCAGCTCGTGTCTCTTCTTGAAGTGATGCTTCATCAGGTACCGTCTGATGAACCCTTTCTCACAAACTGGACACTTGTATGGACGTGTGTGGTTCTGGACGTGCTTCTTCAGCATGTGCTGGGCGTAAAATGTTTTAGAGCAGTGCTCACATTTGAACGGCCTCTGGTCTAGATGCATGCGCACGTGCGTGATCATGAAACTTTTAAACCTGAACTCCTGCCCACATATCAGACACTCGTAGCCTACAGAGTTCTCGAGCCCCTTGTAGTGCTCCTCAATATTCTGAGACAGGCTGTCGGCTATGATTTTATCCTGACCCTCAGTTGACTGCGTTATATCCCCTCCACTGAGCGACTGCTTCTGCTTGTCCTGGAAGGCGTGGACTCTCAAATGACGCAGGACGTTAGCTTTGTTCTTTAAGATTTTATTGCAGATGTTACACTGGCATTTGAGAGCATCCAGCACAGTGAACCTGCCGTCATTGATAGACATGGGGCAGCCTTTGAGCAAGTGGTTCTGGAGATAGAGGAGCTTAGAGAAGGAGGAGCTGCACATGGAGCACTGTATGGGTTTGGTGTGGGTCTTGTGGTGGTGGAACAGATCTGCCTTGTCTCTGAAAGTCTTGAGACACTTCTCACACTGGAACGGCCGAGTGTTTGTGTGTTTTATCAGATGTCTCGACAGCGTGGGGCGGGTGAAAATTAATTTCTTACAATGCCCACATTTATATATAATCTTTTTCCTGTGTTCTGCAACCTCTTGCAGGTCTGTGTCTAAATTTGATTTCACACCAGTCTCACCTTCAACACCAGTTGCTTCCCCTGCTTCAACAATTAGAATTTCTGTTTCTTTTTTCCCTTCCTCTGTTAATACATCATTCTGTTTCTCTGACATGTTCTTCAACTCCTCCTCTGACAGGAGAATCAGCAGACTATACTCTTGCACTTGCTGACCTTCATCATTCCTACTCACCTCCACGCGGACCTCATGGAAATTGTTCCCAAACTGAATAAACCTTTTTTTGTTGTGGTGCTTCATATGCAGAGAGAGCTGAGACCTCTGTAGGTACATCCGGTGACATATAGGACACCGATGCTGGCGCTTATGAATTAACATGTGTTTCCTCATAGAGCTGACATCATTGAATTGCTTAAAGCACTTCAAACAAGGGTAAGGTTTAGCACCTGTGTGAACCACCTGGTGCCTCTCCAACACACTAGCACTGGCAAACACATTCAAACAGATCGGACATGAGACACTTTTTTTATCTGATTGTGAGACTGTCTTTTTCCCATCTTCATCTGGGACTCTGTTGGAGAATATGGAGGAGAAATCTGCAGGAGCTTCAATGGTAATGTTGTATTCCTCTTTAATTTTACCATCGGCAAACAAAGCCTGCTGGACAACGCTGTCCAGGTCAGCGATGTTGTCCGTTGTAATCACCTGCTGCAAGCACTCTTCGTATTTATTTTCCTCCAGAGGTGCACTCACCACCTGGACATAACTTGTAGTTTCAGCTTCAAGCTTAGGTGGAAGAATTGAGCGATTCCGCAGCAGTGAAATCTGTTTACCCTCTGGTCTAACTGGCTCCTCCCCAATGGTCAGTATGAGAGGGTTTTCTTTTGGCATAAGCTTGGAGTACACTGGCCTGGCCACTGCTCGTGGTGGAGGCAGGTTTAATATGCCAGCTTGTTCTAGAGTTTTTAAAGGGGTCAGCTGTGTGTAATCAAGGGATGGGTCCTGTAGTTCAAACACCTAAATTAGATAAGAAAAACTGTTTTAGCTAAAGTAGGCAAAAGATATTTTAACATTTGATACCATATGAAAGAGACTGAAAGAAACATCTGAAACATTTACATACAAAATCATTTAACACCAGCTAAAGACTCACAAACTTTTCCCAGTTTAAGTAGTCACAAAATATTACAGATAAAATAAGTGGTAGACAAATATTAAATTGTAATACCAAAAACACCTACTTTAATTATGTAAGCATACATTGCTAGATTTATTGATTTTACATATTATTCATAAGTGGTAGACAAATATTAAATTGTAATACCAAAAACACCTACTTTAATTACGTAAGCATACATTGCTAGATTTATTGATTTTACATATAGTTCATAGATCTGTAACATATTGAATTACTCTGTATTGAATGAGATAGTTGTATTGAACTGACCTGATGCTCATTGATCTGTAAAATATCCCTCGTGACTGTGATGCCATTGGGTTGCTGCTCCACCAAGCTGGTAGCACAAATGATTTGACTACATGGTGACTCAGCTTTCAGCTTCTCTATGTGCTCGCTCAGATGATCCTACACACAAACAAGCAGGCGCATCATGAAAGGTGAGAGGAGCCACAAATTAGACTGTTAATTACAAAGTTTAAACTATAAAATTATAATCCTAAAAAAATAATTTTAAGTGAAAACTAGTTGGTTGTTACGCCTCCATCTGAAGTTTACATTAGTAAATATGAAAATATTTCTTGTCAGATAAAAAAAGCAACTAAAACTTACTAAGAATAAAGAACGTAAACAAAACTCAGAGCCACAGTCTCCACATTTGTAAGGATTAACAAGGTGGATAACAATATCATTGGGACCAAACTCTGGCTGTGCCATGGCCAACTATGTGTAACTGCTAGACACACCTGCATAAAAAATTGTAAACATTTTAAAATTTAAATACAGGGTTAATCATTAACATAGGTATGTACAATAAAATCTAAATGTTTATTTCTTGAGATGCAATTTTAAAATTACTTGTAAAATAACATTTGAAATATGCTTGCTACCCTTTCATTACTATAAATAATAATGGAAAAGGGTTGCTTATTAAATATATATATATATATATATATATATATATATATATATATATATACAACAGTTAAGAATTGGGGATTGTCGAGGTATATTTGTAGATGACAATATAAGCGCTTGTGTTTGGTTTGGTTGTTTTAATCTCTGTTTGTGTTGCAATTAGGTGCTGTATTGGTGGTTTGTTTTATGTCTAGGTCACTGGGTGTGGGGAAATTGTGAGACGCCAAAAGCGAAATGGCGAGGCGGGAAAATGCGAGAAGGTAATGCGAGACATACCTGCGGAATTAAGGGTAAATAGCGAGACACTTTTTGCGAAAAAAGTTTTTTTCTTTTTTTTTCCATCTTTGTCATTGTGAATTGGTATAATCTTGTCAGCAGGAGAGATATTTTGCAACATCTATTTATGGATTTTTGTACTTGCAAAAAGTGTAAAAGTATAAACAATTCTAAAAAGTGCAATTTAGTTTTTTATTAAGTAATTTTAATTACAAACAAAATTTACAAACAAAATCTTCTGAAACAGTCCTCAAACACACCTCGTGACACCATCTTTCACACATAGTACACCCAACCCAGTTCATTAGACTCCCATTTATACATTTTTCTTTTGCTACTTCTTCCAATCCACATTCACAACATTTCACATTCTCATCACAGTTGACCTCCTCTTTCATCCCACAAACAACACTGGCACCCATGTTCTCATCATCATCATCCGCACACTCAACATCTGTTTTCCGTTTTTTATAATTTGTATTTTTTATCATTTCTGTAATTTTGGCAATGTCTTGCTCATTGTTGTCACCAGCAGTTGAGTTTTTTTAAAACATCGATATTTTCCCAAAATCTTGTCTAATTTCGGTCAAATAGAGTATTTTAATCAATTCCTATTACAATGTATTAAAACAGTTTTCTAAAACGCGAAAAAACGTCTAAAATTCTTTTTCTAACATTGCTTTTTTATAGTGTGACTTCACATCTAACCCCCCCCCCCCTCCCCCTCATCACACATCGTCATAAAATTACAGACCCCCCCCCCTACGAGTGTGACGTCATTGATGGAAAACCCCAAATAACACCACCACAAAAACCAAAAAATTCAGATAAGCTCAACTTGGTTTTAAAAATATTTGAAGTAGGCCCATAGCTTAAGATATAGCACAAGCAACTGATAATATCGGTGACGTCACTTTATTTTGTTGTATCCAAATGATGTAGGCATTTCCTTGTGCTTAGATTTATATGGTAAAAAAAGCTAGAAAAAAATCGTAGGCGGCGGCTATAATACAAAATTTCTATGCAACAATAGAAAATATGTTTGCGGCGGCAGCGGATCCAGGCACGGCGATCTTCAAAGACGGTAAATCAGGCGGCCTCTGCGTTCCACACAAAAGACAGAAGTTGATCTATCGTCGGCGGTATTTTCGTCGGTTTCGAACAAGGTGGTATTCTAAGTCGACACAAAAGATGGGGGGAGTTGACAAATCATCAGTATGTCTAGCGACGGAAAAATCGGAAGTTTTAACAATGTAAACGAAACGTCTTTGAAGTCTGGAACAAATACCACTGAAAATCGGGTGCGGTAAATTTTTCGCAGAAATCTTCGCATTTCAACACCACCCAGCGTACGTATCGGCTTGTGGTAAAATGCGAGACAAAAAAGTCACGTGACCGACCGTTTTCGCGCCCTTCTCGCATTTTCCCGCCTCGCCATTTCGCTTTTCGCGTCTCGCAATTTCGCTTTTCGCGTCTTGCAATTTCCCCACACCAAGGTCACTAGGACCATTTCACTACCACACAGAGCAAATCCAAAAAAGTTTGAAAAATCAATTCATTTTTTTTCCACACAAACAGAATTTAAATAACACTAAGCACAATTACTTAAAGTCGCCAATAATAACACAAGTTCTGCACCACAAGTTCTAACTAAAGGTAATAACAATGGGACGGCGTGGCAGAGCACTAGATCACTAGACTGCAAACACACAAGACTCTAGTTCGAATCTGTGTTAAGTCGATAGAATGTCCCTGAGTCCACCCAGCTTACTTAGATCAGTGTTTTTTCCAGATTTTTTTCTGTTTCCAGCACCCCCCCCCCTCCAAAGAAATGCCTGAAAGAAACTCTGGCTCAGATGCCCAGATGGATACCTCAATCATATTAGAGAAAGCAAAGGCGGCTGGGTTAAATGCCGAGGTAAAAAAATCAAAAACTGGTGAACAGTGAACACTATGCCCCATGCATCGTCAGGATAAGAAAGGGAGAGTTACTATACTTTTTAAAACTAGAAGAATCTACAGTAGTTCTCTAGTCTCTAGATTACTTCTAGATCTAGATTCTAGATCTTAGATCTTCTAGCTAGACTTCTAGATAGATGTAACTAAGAAGTGTTAGATCTAGAATCTAGATCTAGAACTAGACTCTAGTCTAGATCTAGATCTAGAAAAAAAATCTAGATCTAGATCTAGGGATTCTAGAACTGATCTAGATTCTAGATCTAGATCTAGAGATCTAGAATCTAGATCTAGATCTTAATTTAAATTAATTTAAGTCTAGATCTAGAGACTAGTAGTTAGATCTAGATTCTAATGGACTAAAATGAGAAGAAAATCAATAAAAATATTAATAAGAAATACATTGGAGGTCTTGTTTCAGATCTAGAAATAGTTTCTTTTTAGTATGAACAGATTTTCACCTAGTCTAGGATTTCTTTTTCTTGGCATACAATTTTGATAGTCAATGCAATAACTGCTCTGACCGTAATGCTATCCGTTTTGGTACAACAATTTTGCATCCCATAATTCTAAATTTATTGTTATATTTTAAAATTCTAAGGCGGCAACGCAACAAAATTTTAATAACTGAATCATTAATTATAATTCATGACAATTTAGATGAAATTGAATAATTATTGAATGAAGCAATAGCTGTACTTTAATAAATATTTTATTTTTACGAAAAACTAAATGAATTAGTGATAGATCTAGATCTAGGTTTGTTTCTAATACTTTACATTACAAGCTTGGATGATGCTGATTTTTAAGTTTGTTTTTAACGGGAAGGTAACTCTAGGCCTACCAAACAGAAATGGCATCCAATTCGTGTTATCGGTGTTTTAAAAAATCTGTATCGTTGCTATTCAGATCTAAAAACAGTTGTTCTTTGGGTGATTACTAATTTTATAATTATTGATAACAACTTAAGTGGATTTATTAACATTTAATGTTGTTAAAATACTTAAATGTTTATTTTAGGTAACGCAAACCAGTTTTGTCCTTGGAAGGGAAACTAATAATAATTTTTAATTTAACTTTAACTTGCTTGAGTAACTTGTGGTAAAACCTTAGTTTAGCGTCGTTTATTATTCCGGAATGGTATAGCAGTAAAAAACAGTAAAACAATGGCAAAGTCTGTCACACAGTTACGGAAGTACTGTAAACCATACTTTATTTGGCGTCATCTTTTATTTTAATACAGAACGTTTAGGGCCTAAAGTTTGGATAGCCTAGATTTATTTTAATTGCATGTTTAATAAATACTGCTTTATTAATCATTTTGTTACTTTGTATAACTAGTTATTTTTAAGTGTTTCAGCTAAATATTTCTGCTACTAAACATTGTTTAACTGGGTTCGTAAGTAGTCTGGAAAAGTCTTGACTTTAAAAAGTCTGGACGGGTCTACACTGTGGTATGACGTTGTTTTTTTTTTTGCTGGATCGCAGAAGAAACCCGATTTCTCAGTTACTACGTCATTTGGGGGAGGGGGGATGAGTGTAAGACCTGTCTTTTTTTTTTTTTTTTGTTGCTTGACTGACCGTGAAAACGTTTAGGGCTAGACTAACCCACCCCTCATAGTAACTAAGGTCACTGATATCTAAACTTGTATGAACTCACCGTGACCCCAGTAACGTAGATGCGTGCTGTTCGGCTAGGTGATGGAGGAGGGGGAAATAAAAGTTACAGTACAGTTCATGATATGACGTATTAGACTGGGGCTACTGTGACCTCACAGTGACCCCTCAACAGTCTCTTATTGTGTGTGTGTATGGGGGGATACCGGTAGTTTTTAATAGCAGACAAAAGTTTCTCAGCTATAAGCACAAATAATGGTGTGGTTACAAAAGTCTTGTTTCATTTTCAAAATAGTGTACGAACCCTGTTTCTAGACACTTTTACTGTTTTTGTAATCATTTTTACATCTTTGTAGTAATTTTTACTATTTTCATAATCTAGATTTTTTTTACTTGGCCTAGCAGCTATAGCTAGATCTAGATCTAATTAATTAATGGTCGCAAATCCGCTGCAAGCCAAAAACATTAAATTATTACATTTGACTTCATTGTTTTTATTTATATTAAAATATGTTGTTGTTTTTTAGATCTACTAATTTAAATCTACTATTATATTTATTCTTGTTTTCTTTTGTCGATTAAACTTAAAAATTCAAACATTAATTTACTACAATCGACTTTCAATTTATTTATATTTCAACGGTCAAATAAACCGTGGTTTACCGTAACTCTAGTTACCAAAACTCAACAAACATTACCCAATAATTTCCGACGCTAAACTAAGGTTTTACCTAACTTGTAACTTGGACGTTCAGAGTTTCTCTATCACAAAAAAATCTCAAAATCAAAATAATATCAGTTGTGATCTTTGATAAAGTCAGTGAGATGTTGTTAGATGTTCAGATAAATGCAATTAAGATTTATAATAAAGGGTAGAGTCTAGTAATACTAGATTGACTAGATTATTCTGTTACTGTTATAAAAAATATAATAGGGGCCTAAGGCCTAACTGTAGATTAGTTAGTTAGAGTAATAGTAATAGACTTAGGCTTAGGTCTTGTTGTTGAGGTGTTGGTTTGCAATTTCCATCCTATTATTAATTATTTAGACTAGATTCTAGATAGAGGGAAAATAAATACGAGATGACTATGTGGAGCAAACTGCATACTGAAATATTGCCAAGACTGTCCGAGGTTAGGGGTAGAAAATATGTAGCATCTATATTCTATGTGCATGCACAAACATTCTTTGCATTTGAGATTCAATATTGCGATAACCATTCATTCGGTCAAAGTGGTTTTGTATCAGTCAGCTTGTTTTAGTGGCGTGGGTTCCATTCCTTTAGCTGTTATCTCTGAGTTTTTATTTTGCTATTTTTTTATTTTACTTAGTAAATAAAACCTGGTGTTTAACTTTTTAAGGGTTATCGATTATGGGATATGTTTAGGCTTTAGTATGCCGATTATCATTAAGGAAAGGGTTAGGCATTAGGGTTAGTATTTTTTTCAGACCTTTTACAATATCTTTGGGGGGAGGGTGTCATGTATGACACTACAGCCCCCAGAGATGCCTGAAAGAAAGTTAGGGAGGATTAGGGTAAATATAAGCATGCATAATATGTCAGAAATATTGCCATGAAGTGAGGCAATTTTTTTTCTGCACTGCATACTCATAGTTTCTTCCGGCTTCAATCAGCAGAATAAATATTCAAATTTCAACTTTGACAGATTATAGGAGGAAACAATAAATGAGAAAATAGGCCTACTAAATAGTATATATATCTTCTAAATAATGAAAAAATTACATTAAATTTTAATTAAATAGGCTTACAAGGCAATGATGAGAAGACATATATTACAATTTTTAGTACTATAAATTAAATGAAAGATCTTCATTACTTTACTTACTTTTACTGCAATGCATTGTGATAGTACTGTATTGAATTTCCTTGATTTTATTGTATTTTTAAAAACAATTTTTTAAATAAAAAAAAATCAAAACTAGTTGTTAACCGTTTATTAACACAGCTTTTAAAACTAAATGAGCAGAAAAACAAGGTTCATATAAAACATAGTTTTGTGAAATTCTCACAACTTTTGATTGGTTCTACAACTAGGCTATTTTGCATTTTACTTTTTTGCTTCTCACATTTCCTCTGCCTCCAACAGAATGATTAAATTTCAAGTAAAACCTTGAAGAATGCTTTGTCCTATATAATAATTTATTAATAAATAATAGTAATTGATCTCTAATTGTGAGAAAAAAATATGGTTACAGCTGGTAAGATTTCTAGTATTTGGTATCAAGATCAGCCATTTTCCTGCAAATTGGTTAATTCTGAATTCTACTACATCTTTAATCCTTGTGTAATTAGTTATAAAATGTTTAGTCAGCCAGTGGTTTTTAACAGTAAACTACATGTTTCACCAACAGAAGTGCTTTTTTTATAACAATGTGATATTTGTTTTTACCAGTGAGCCACATGCCTAAAGCCTGTTTAAGTACCAATAACCTAATTGGTGCTGTGTGTGTTGAGCGTCCTCCTATACTAACAGCTAGAAAATCCAGACTTGAACAAACGTTTCAGAACTTACTAAACGAGAAGGAACTAGAGTCTAGTTACCTTTCAGATCATGAAATTAGGCTATTAAAAGAAAGGTAAGTTGATATTTTCAGAGTTTATTATTTTCAATTTCATTTTAAAATCTATTGATTTATGTATCATTTTCTCAACAGAGGTAATAGTTTTAAATAATATATCCCATATGCTGACTTTCTTGTGATGTTGGGAAGGGGAAATCACTTTAAAAACAAGATATTATTTGATTTAAAGATGATCCCAGATATTGTGGGGGGGGGGGGGGGGTGTATTAATGAAGATGTTTTTACAATAATTATATAATTTTTAGAGAAAATTTAAAGAAAAATGAACCAGTCGATAGTGCTAATGATAAAGAAACAGAGACAGCCTTAGATTTGGAAGATAAATGGGAAGCAGAACTTAAGGCATTTACACCTGCAGCAAGGGAAACAGAAGCTGACCGTACAAATAACAGAAAGTCATTGGAAAGAAAACTTGACACTACATTGTATTTACTTGTGAAACAGAAAATAGAAGGGAAGGATCATTGGGTATTACCTCAAGCATATTGGAAGGAAGGTGAAACCATGAGACAAGTAAGAATTTTGTTTATTAAATATTACAATTTAAGTTTAGAATTAGACACTTAAGACCAAATGGCTAAATTACAACTTTAAATACTGTTTTTCATTTTAGACAGCAGAAAGAGCACTGAATTCTGTATGTGGTGAAGTAAAAGCAACATTTTTAGGAAACGCTCCATGTGCATTTGACTATCATAATCCAGCAAAGGTAAAGATGTCTCATATGACATGTATTATCCATTCCCACAAAATAAAATAGCCCCTTTCACTCCCCCTACATTGACTAAAAATGTTTATTAACCTTAATTAAACTGTTTTTAATTATTTGTAAGAAATATATATGTTATGCAATGTTCAACTCTCCTAATGTCCCAATTCCCCAAGGGGCATTATGTTACTAATTATGAACACAGAAGTGCGATGGTGTTTAAATTTTCTATATTTTCATATGAAACATTATTTTTCAGATATTTTTCTTCAAAGCATGGTACAGAGAAGGTTCAGTGGCTGTCAACAAAGATTTAGCCAGTGATTACTTATGGGTGTCACAAAATGAGTTAAAAGAGTACTGTTTTCCCAGCTACAACAAAGGCCTGAAAAAATTTATAGTTCCATTGTGATCTTGGTTTGGTTACCATTACGGCATTATATTTAGAGAAATCGACTTGAACCATGGACACATCATACATATTTTTGTAAACACATATTGCCTCATACATAGTACTGCTTCAATTTGATCATATAATTTGGTATGATGTGTGTAAATATATTTTAATTAATTTTTTATGTAAGATTGTAGAACATAAATTGTATTGTGAAAGTTTCATTGCAGAGAAGTAAATTGAAAAACTTCTCAAGGACTTGTTGATTTTTTTTCTTAACCCATTACTGTGTCTAAGGGTATTTTTTATTCACTTCAGGGTTTTAATTTTTTTACATAAAAATAAAACTTGCCATGCATTCAGATTTCAACCTTTTTAAATTAACTTCCAATTACACTAAAGATGAGTACAGCAATAATATCTATAATTGCTAAAAAAAAATTACTCAAAGCGGTTTTAAAAACTCAAAGCATTACATTTTAATAAACAATTTTTATATGAAGATAACAAAGCAAACTAATTTACATACAGAAATGTTACAAAAAACATTTCCTTAATGCTGTCAGATCATTTTCAGAATATTTCTTGCTTTCATCCAGGGCTTGTAGCAAGTCTTTAATCACTGAAAATAGTTTTAAGAATTGTCAATCTATGAAAATTCCAAATTTTATCAAAGTAGCAATAAAAACTTAACTTAGACTGATAATGTGCATTGAGCTAAAATAAGACAAATATTTGTTTGTACATACCTTGTTTTTCTTTTTGGGAGAGAAACATGGCTGTCATTGAAAACCTCTTGACTTTGGTCAAATTGATCAGTATGTCATACATGTTGATTTCATCAAGTCTAGATTTATGGAGACAAAAGACAGGGATTTAACTTACTATAAGCACCTTTTATTCATACAACTAAAACTATTTAATTAAACTGACCTGTTTGAGTTAGTTTGTAAACTTGTAAGTATAGTGGTGAGGATTTCTGCATCAAGACACTGACCAAAGAGCTGACAATATTTTGCAGGAGGTATGGCCTGAGAGAAAAATTTGTGTAAGAATGGTGCGACTATTTTTTAAGTAATTTCAATGCATTTTTAGATATATGCAAGGCAATTGTAATACATTTAATATGTAAGTACTGATATGTTAAAGAAGAAAAAATATATGGCGTGAACTTTTTAAAGTTTTTTTTTTTTGCTCTTGCTGTGTGAAAATAAAACTGGACAAACCTTAAAATAGTTAATAAAAGCTTCCTGGTTGTGTTTTAACAGCTTGAAATCTGCCTGGAACTGAAAAGATGTAGTTGGTACAGAAAAACTGTCACCTGGGCTTGCTTCTGTTGCCACTCTAGTCTGAGAAGCTTTAGTTTGAGCAGTAGTAGCTGTTCTGTCACCTGAACCAATCTCTGGAGAAAATTTCTTGTTTGAACTATTTTCACAAGAATCCTTTTTCTTCGGAGAGATTGTACTATCACCACACTTTTCTGATCTTACATCAGCCTGACCTCTATCACTGCTGTCAGATGACTGAACAGACGAGTCCACTGATGAGGATGACCCCACCCTTTTATTATCTAAACTCTCTGAAGGTGTTGAAGACAGTTCTTCTATTTTACTAATGGAGGAAGCACCTGACTCAGAGGTCAGGAAAAGCTGATCAAATTTTTCTCCCTCCTGCTCAGCCAGCTTCTTTGCTGTTTCACTTTGTTCCATGTTGAGACATTGCAGCCTGCTGCCCACCTCTATCCCTACTTCTTCAATAAGGACTTGTCTTAATGGAACCTAGAAATAAATTTTAAACTGTTATGTAATGATATTTTTACTGATCAGAAATACAAAATTACATAATGGTGTCCATAATAATATAGTTCAATAAATAAAGATAAAAGTAGAACACTATTTTTAGTCCACTGAAAATGAATATTTCATAAGGTAGAGCAATGTTTGTTGTGTTTGCTTACAAAGTACCTTAGATCTTTCTTCTGGTGGCTTGTACACTGGTTTTACTATTCCCTTTTTCCCATCAATCAGACTTGATAATACAGGATCTTTATTTTCTCTATCAAACTCCTGTCATTTTGTAAATAATGTTTAATTAAAAATTATATTCGCGTTGTTAAATTTATAACAGCACAATAAATTGTGTTCAATACATTTTGTTATTCAACAATATCAATCATTCAAAACAAAAATAGTGAATATAAATTAGCAGTAAAAACCCATTAAAACAACCTTAGCAGTTCTTTGTGTATGACTACACATCCTTGAAAGAAGAAACGAACCTTTTTCAGCCTGTCTAGCTCTGCAGCTGCATGTTTGTTGGTGGGTTCAAGATATAAAACTCTCTGAAAGTCTTCGCTCGCTTCTTTAAATTTACCCATGGCAGTTCTAGCTGTAGCTCGTCGCAAATAGGACTTCACATATAAGGGATCAAGGGTAATTGAAGTTGTACAATCCAACTCAGCAGCTCCATATCTAAGGAAGATTATGGTTATGAATTAAAACAACTTGACATAATATTCAAAAATAAAACTAAATACTGAGCAGCTTAATATTGAAGCATTGAGATAACATTACAAAAAGTCAAAATCTGAAGCTAAATTTAGTAAAATACTGTTTTAAGAGCAATTAAAAACTAATTTCTTTTCTGGTTTCTTGGTATAGTTGTAAAAAAACAAAAATAATTTACTTTTCTTGTTTGAGCAGTGCCATGGCCCTATTGGCTGGCAGAATGGCATTTGTTGGATCATAGCTGATGCCTTTAGTATAAGCCTCAACTGCATTCTCTATGTCACCATTTTTGAAGAATTCATTTCCCTGTTAAATAAAAAGTATAGTCTTTAAGATAAACCAAAATAATTCTTTTAATGGAATAGATTTATTGCTTGAATAGTTATATTCTAGATCTTAAGTCTCTAATTCATTATGTTGCTGTATAGTAAAGGGGTGAGACTCAAAGAATAAGCAATTCAAATTGAACTTCTGAACTAATGTATTGCAATTTTACAAGTTTTTATTTAATTGATACCATGTTTGTTCGTGTTTTAATAGTTTTTTTCTATATTGGGATTATATTAAATCTTCTACAAAAAACAATTGATCTTTTTTACTAAACCACTTGCATCCATACTAATTTTGTGCTCACCTTATCTTTCTCAAGGCCAGCTAAATACTTTTTCCTCTCAAATTCCCATTCTTCATCTGTCTCATACTCTGAAGATGATGTTTCATTTCCTTTATCTTCTTTGTCAACTTCTTCCAAGGCCTTTTCCTAAAATATTTACATCTATATTTAAAAGCACTCAACTACTCAACATTCAATAAAAATTGTTACTTTTTTACTGCTAGTTTCTAGAAATCCACACTTTTCTGAAGGCAATAAATCAATAATAAAAAGTAGCACATGTAAAAAGAGAAGCCATAACAGTTCAATGAAAATAATTTCCATATTTTGAAAGCAGGTATTGATTATGAGATATCACTAAAGAAAAAGATGGACATGCATTCATTATGACAGAAAAAAGTGCCAGTACAGTAAGAGACCCTCAGTAAACCTAATCGATCTTCTTGTGCCAGCTGATAATACTGATATTGTTATTTAAATCTTTATTTTTATAAGATTCTAATTTAAATAATAATAAAAATGTATTTCTGAGTAAGTTAGCAGCATTTTTTAAAAGTCAAACTCAAACAGTTAATACTTATACACACCACATCAAATTTATCCCAAGCACGGAAATCAAAACCACTAATCTTTTTAGGCTTCTCATGATTCACTGGCTTTTCCTTCTTTTTTCTTTTCAACTTTTTCTTGTGTATTGTATTCCGTACAGGAGGCAATTCTTCACTCTTAAAAAAAAAACTATGAAAGTTAAACTAACAAAGTTTGTTACAATCATTAAAAAGAAAATTGTTTCTTAAATAACACTCAAATTAAATATATTTGAAGATCTGTAGGCCTAATTTATTTAATTTAACAAATAAAAACAGGCTGGTCTATTTTTTAATACAATGTTAGGCCCATGTAGTAATAGGCTAGTCCTAACTAGTAATCAATTGAGTTAGACTTACTTTACATTAAAAAAAAGAGGTGTTTAAAAAGTAACAAAAATTTTCAAATACCTTATCTGTCTTGCCCAACTTCAAGTCCTCCTCTTTTCTTTTGATATCCTTCTCCCAGTTTTTCAGATCAGACAAATAGTCCTGTAGCTCAGTCTGATTTAGACGAACTTGAGACTGAAGACGAATCATCTTCTCCTCATGTTCAGATATTTTAGGCATTTTTGTTCTTTATCTTAGCCTTAAAAAAATGTTTAAATCAAACAAATAGTGCAAAAATTATAAATTCTATAAAGCATAGGCACTAAGTGTTACAGTTGAGTTTTAGGGTCTTGTCTAAAGTCTAAGTCTACACACTACATTTAAACTACATTAATTAGCACCTGCACTGGATAGCCAACATGTAGATCTAGACATCTAAGCCTAAAAAAATTCTAACATTTAGCCTTTCTCACAAAGTCTCAAACATAGAAAAAACTAGATATTAGATATCTTATCTAGAACTAGAATAGATCTAGATCTAGAGATGAGAAATTAATTTTTAAAAATTATTTAGAATTAGAAGGCTAGTGACACTAATTTTTCAATGGAACTACTGATCTATTCAATTACTAGATAGTAGATAGATCTATAGTCTCTAGATCTGTGTAGAATTATTTTTTTTATGAAAAAAAAGACGATCGGGGGGAGGAGGAGAGAAAGTAAAAAAAAGGAAATATGACATGGTCGACGTGTGATGGTTGCAACTTCAAAACTTGCAAGTTTCAATCTTTTTGGATTTTTCCGATAATATAGTTTTAAAAAATGGGGTGTAGTGTACTGTTAGGTTACTGGTAGTTAAATAAATGCACATTTATATTCTAGATCTAAATCTAAATGTTTATCTTCTATAGGCCTAGATCTAATATTTATATTTCTAACCTAAACTCTTAAAAACGAAATGCCTACCCACAGGATGGTTTATTTTTCTAGATTAATCTTTGAAAAGGAATTCCGTCTTTTTAATTTTCACGCTTAAACTTGTTTTCTAAAACAAAAGTGGTCTCTAGGCCCTATGTCTCAGTATCGCCTACCAGATATTCTAGAAAAAATTCTACCGCCGCCCCCCCCCCCCCCCCCCCCGAACGAAATGAAATTTATATAATTTATATAGAAAATATATTTTTTTAACAGTGTCCGCCCCCCCCCAAAGAAATTCTACCGCCCCCCCCCCCGAAAATTTCAAGTGCCCCCCCCCCCCCCCGGAGAAAAAAGTCTGGAAGAAACACTGATCATAACGTAACCACAGACAACATAGATGTAGATCTATATACTAACTTGCTTTTATTAGTAGTATATAGTAAATAGATCTAGCTACGTTTCAATATTAATCGTAATGACATTTTGTCTGCTGAATAAAATTCAAAATCAAATACAAGTAGGCAAATTTCCCAAATAGATAGATCTATATCTAGATCTACATTTTTTGCACTAATATTTTTTTAAAAGCAGATTTATGGTTTTTGCTTGACTAAAGTTTCCGTAATTAACTTATTAAATAATAAATAAAGGAGAGCGTCAACAAACTAAATTCTTGCGTGATCGGACTTTGTCTTTTGTGCCCAGTGTTTCTTCCAGACTTTTTTCCTCCGGGGGGGGGGGGGGGGGGCTCTTGAAATTTTCGGTGGGGCGGACTAAATTTCCGGAGGGGGGGGGGGGGCGGAGACTGTTTAAAGTTTATATTTTACTATTCAAATCTCATTTCGTTCGGGGGGGGGGGGCGGTTGACTTGGGGGGGGGGGGAGAATGCCTGTTTGTGATGAAGAAGGGAGGAGATGGGGAAATAGTGCCGTTACTCTTTTTTTTTAAGTAATTTTTAAAACTGACATTTTCGCTTTATTTTCACGACTTTTTTTTTTGTATAAGTTATGTGCCTTAATAAAAATGCATCACTGTAGGCTTACCTAATCTTGGCCAAGATATGCAAACTGTTTCAGGAGAAGGAACCGACAAAAAACAAGCTTTGGCATCGTCATGGATTAGATCTGCCTCGACATCAATTTTTACCCAAATGTTTTCTTTCACAACCTTCTAGTTTAAGAATTAAAAAAAAAAACACCCCTAACGCCAAAGTGTGGTGTCCCGATCATATTTTTTATCGTGATCCGGCTGCACTTAATCGGGAAATATTTTTGAATAAATGTCCAGCACCTTTGAGCACCACTAAAACGCATAACAAAGACATGATTATTTTAAGTGGCCCACAAAAACAAAACTTCGAGAAAAATCTGAATCTAGGTCTAAGTTTTTGTCAGTACAATGAAGACAAGCGAGTTGACGAGATTACTTCCAACACGTCTCTCATCTCAGAAAAAGGTAAATATTATAATAATTATAATTGTTAGATCTAGATCTATACTATATGCGAAAGTATGTGTTGTTATATTGAATATAAAACTTTAAAAAATATAGGTTTAAGGATCATGCAATCGTATTTATTTTTAATCCCCACCACCCCCACCCGACGCCCCAACCTTTACAGCTATTCAAAACTTTTAATGTAAAAAAAAAAACCGTTCTATAAACAGGTAGATTATAAGTCTAGTTAATGTAAACTTTTAACGAGTAATGGAGATAGTTTATTAAAAAAATGTATAATTTATAACTCTTGACCACAATGCTACCCACATGGGGTACGGCACAGCAATACAAAATTATAGACCGTTATATCTCCCGTTCCTGTTGTATAATTCATATGTCCACGATCCATAACTATGTACCATATAAAGAGCTGTTGAAATACTGTTACGATATATTACAGCCTGTATAAGCCCTGTGGACATGTAGATATGGTGACAGTGGCACCGCATCCAAAAGCTGAGTTATTGTAGTTATATGGTGACTTCTGACATTTTCCAACAAAGCTGATTCTTAGGGTGAAGTAATAATAATAATATGGTGACCCCTGACATTGTCCACCAAAAGCTGACTTTTGACGTCATAAGGTGACCCCTGACATAGTCCACCAAATGCTGAATTTTGTAGGGTGACGTCATACGGTGACCCCTGACTTGTCCACCAAAAACTGACTTTTGACGTCATAAGGTGACCCCTGACATTGTCCACCAAGAGCTGACTTTTGTAGGGTGACGTCATACGGTGACCCCTGACTTGTCCACCAAAAACTGACTTTTGACGTCATAAGGTGACCCCTGACATTTTTCATCAAAAACTGACTTTTGTAGGGTGACGTCATACGGTGACCCCTGACATTGTCAACCAAGAGCTGACTTTTGTAGGGTGACGTCACACGGTGACCCCTGGAAATGTCCGAGGTGACCAGTACAACTGCCCGTGTGCCGCTGACGTCAGAACTCAGTAACGAGGTCCGCGATAAAGTCAGCGCCTACATGGACCAGATGTTCCAGAACTTTCAGCGGAAGGTGGGGGAGACGGTCCGGTACGTCCTCTTTGTTTTAATACGACGGCAGGACAATACAGGACGATACGGGACAGTACAGGACAATCCAGTAAATTACAGGATAATGCAGGACAATACAGGACAAACAGAGAAGTACCTGTACTCAGATTTTCTTTGCTGTTGAAAAATAGGTACTGGTAGGGTTGCTAAAATTATTTTAACTGTGGTCTGGTTTTACAGTAAATTAAACTTAAGATACGTTTTGACATTAATAACAAGAAAATAATATGGTTAGGGGCCTGGTATATATATATATATATATATATATATATATATATATATATATATATATATATATATATATATATATATATATATATATATATATACCAGGCTGATATGTGACCACCCCGTGACACATGCTGTCCAGGCTGAGCTACCAGAGTCCACCTTGACCTGGAGCTTTAACGACGACTACTTTCTCATGGACCCTAGGTACGCTACTGCCAGCATAAGGTGCTGCTTATTGGTGCACATGGCAGTACAAGGTTATTAATAGATTCTCTTGCACTTTTAACAGTTCCCTGTGTTTAATAATGGATACTCGTTGATTAAACTTATGCATATATACATATATATATATATATATATATATATATATATATATATATATATATATATATATATATATATATATATATATATATATATCGTCATACCGACTTGAGTCTTCTCCTATCGCTAGCCGTGTGTTTTATTATAAGGGCAATTTGGACATAACAGACCTGACCCCCGGGGACACGGGGGTGTATGAGTGTGTGGTCAAGTGGGGGAGTGGCAACACACAGGAGAATATAACTGTAGGGGTGTATAGCCTGCAGGTGAGTGGAGTGTTTGACAGGAACGTTTATGTTGGTCTAGACGGAGAATGTTGACAGTATGACTATGAACAATGCTAACATTATGTCTGTGTTGGTCTAAATGGAGAATGTTGACAATATGTCTATATTGGTCTATGTGAAAAACGTTGACACTCACGTCTATGTTGGTGTATGTGAAGAACGTTGACACTCACGTCTATCTTGGTCTATGTGAAGAACGTTGACACTCACGTCTATGTTGGTCTATGTTGGTCTACGTGAAGAACGTTGACACTCACTTCTATGTTGGTCTATGTGAAGAACCTTGACACGTCTATGTTGGTCTATGTTGGTCTACGTGAAGAACGTTGACACTCACGTCTATGTTGGTCTATGTGAAGAACGTTGACAGTACTCACGTCTATGTCGGTCTAGGTTGAGACCCAGACACCCACCCGCTACATTTTCGAGAAAGAGCCAGCCCGACTGGACTGCCATAGCGGCTGCCTGGGGCGGCTGTTCCCCGCCTCCACACGCCGCTGGCTGCTCAACGACACCTTCGTCAACACCAAGGTACTCACCCTGGCCGACAACACCACAGTTGACGTCATCGACGCTGTCGGCTACAGCGACTCGGGGGTCTGGGAGTGCCAGGTGACCCACTCTAGGACCAACCGGACCTGGGACACAGCTTGGTGAGTGGCGTGTTCCAGGGGCGTATTGGGGGGGGGGGGCAATGAGTGGCGTCCTCCAGGGGCGTGTTCAGGGGTGGACAACGACGCTAAGAGTGACGTTCTCCATGGGCGTGGGGTATGTGCCTGCTAGTGGTTTTGCGTATTGGTTCCGATTAGCGGTGGATATTTGGTTAATCTGTTCTAGCCTTTAACACTGAGCAGCTTTTGCAATCTTTTAAAATCGAATTCGTATACAAAGGTATCATTAATCCGCAATAGTCTATAAATATATCATTAAAAATATCATATATTATAGTATACAAATGTAAAAACCAAGCTGTAGTGATCCAATTACTTAAATGCAAGTACTGCTAAACATGTTATAGTTATACGCGGTCTATAGACCCATACATACAAGGGACCAGAAGATAGCTGACTTGTAATGTCCATTTGTCTAATGTCCCCAAATAGGTGGTTTATAAAATTGGGTTTTTAAAGTCATTTTAGCCTAATTTTATTCTACTTTAAACTCTAAAGTATGTACATGTTTTTTTTAAAATAAATATATTGCTTATGTTAAAAACAAAATAAAAAATATTGCCAAGGGAAAATACTCTAAAAACAATAAGACAGTCAAATTTATTGGGTTTTTCCCCTTTGTTGCTCGCCATATTAGGCATATTTCAACTTTGTACTGCATGACCTTTTTCCTTACCTCCTCACGTAGACTATTTATACCAAAATAGGGTGAAGTCTCTTTCACAAAGTAAATGATAAGATGATAATGTAAGCTATGGGGATGCTTACCTACAGCTCCTGGGGAGGGAAGGAGGGAGGGAGGCGTAATACCACAGCTAATACGATGTGTCTAGACATGAACAACAATAGCAAATTTAGAAATAGACTTCTCTAACGCCTTAACGAGGTTAATTAGAGAAAATGTTCAAAACACTACATCATGACAAGACCTCTATGTCTTACATTACCCACCATCAACTCTCTTGAGTTTGAGCTTGATCTAGTTTTGTACCCGTGGCCCTAGGATTAGATCCTGGGTACCTGTAGCTCATGGCTCTTTATTCCCTACAAGATGTTCCTCTCTCTACTCTCCCTACAGGATGTTCCTCTCTCTACTCTCTACAGGATGTTCCTCTCTCTACAGGATGTTCCTCTCTCTGTTCCCTACAGGATATTTCTCTCTCTACTCTCTACAGGATGTTCCTCTCTCTCTACTCTCTACAAGATGTTCCTCTCTTTCTACAGGATGTTCCTCTCTCTACTCTCTACAGGATGTTTCTCTCTCTACTCTCTACAGGATGTTCCTCTCTCTCTACTCTCTACAAGATGTTCCTCTCTTTCTACAGGATGTTCCTCTCTCTACTCCCTACAGGATGTTCCTCTCTCTACTCTCTACTGGATGTTCCTCTCTCTACTCTCTACTGGATGTTCCTCTCTCTACTCTCTACTGGATGTTCCTCTCTCTCTACTCCCTACAGGATGTTCCTCTCTCTACTCTCTACAGGATGTTCCTCTCTCTACTCTCTACTGGATGTTCCTCTCTCTCTACTCCCTACAGGATGTTCCTCTCTCTGTTCCCTACAGGATGTTCCTCTCTCTACTCTCTACAGGATGTTCCTCTCTCTCTACTCTCTACAAAATGTTCCTCTCTTTCTACAGGATGTTCCTCTCTCTACTCCCTACAGGATGTTCCTCTCTCTACTCCCTACAGGATGTTCCTCTCTCTACTCTCTACAGGATGTTCCTCTCTCTCTACTCCCTACAGGATGTTCCTCTCTCTGTTCCCTACAGGATGTTCCTCGCTCTACTCTCTACAGGATGTTCCTCTCTCTGTTCCCTACAGGATGTTCCTCGCTCTACTCTCTACAGGATGTTCCTCTCTCTCTCTACTCCCTACAGGATGTTCCTCTCTCTACTCTCTACAGGATGTTCCTCTCTCTACTCTCTACAAGATGTTCCTCTCTCTACTCCCTACAGGATGTTCCTCTCTCTACTCTCTACAGGATGTTCCTCTCCCTACAAGATCTTCTTCTCTCTGTTCCCTACAAAATCTTCCTCTCTCTGTTCCCTACAGGATGTTCCTCTCTCTACTCTCTACAGGACGTCCCTCTCTCTACTCCCTACAGGATGTTCCTCTCTCTACTCTCTACTGGATGTTCCTCTCTCTCTACTCCCTACAGGATGTTCCTCTCTCTGTTCCCTACAGGATGTTCCTCTCTCTACTCTCTACAGGATGTTCCTCTCTCTCTACTCTCTACAAGATGTTCCTCTCTTTCTACAGGATGTTCCTCTCTCTACTCCCTACAGGATGTTCCTCTCTCTACTCCCTACAGGATGTTCCTCTCTCTACTCTCTACAGGTTGTTCCTCTCTCTCTACTCCCTACAGGATGTTCCTCTCGCTCTACTCTCTACAGGATGTTCCTCTCTCTACTCTCTACAAGATGTTCCTCTCTCTACTCCCTACAGGATGTTCCTCTCTCTCTCTACTCCCTACAGGATGTTCCTCTCTCTGTTCCCTACAGGATGTTCCTCTCTCTACTCCCTACAGGATGTTCCTCTCTCTCTACTCCCTACAGGATGTTCCTCTCTCTCTACTCCCTACAGGATGTTCCTCTCTCTGTTCCCTACAGAATGTTCCTCTCTCTACTCTCTACAGGATGTTCCTCTCTCTCTACTCCCAACAGGATGTTCCTCTCTCTCTCTACTCCCTACAGGATGTTCCTCTCTCTGTTCCCTACAGGATGTTCCTCTCTCTCTACTCTCTACAGGATGTTTTTCTCTCTGTCTACTCCATACAGGATGTTCCTCTCTCTACTCTCTACAGGATGTTCCTCTCTCTCTACTCCCTACAGGATGTTCCTCTCTGTTCCCTACAGGATGTTCTTCTCTCTACTCTCTACAAAATGTTCCTCTCTGTTCCATACAGGATGTTCCTCTCTCTGTTCCCTACAAATTGTTCCTCTCTGTTCCCTACAGGATGTTCCTCTCTCTGTTCCCTACAAGATGTTCCTCTCTCTGTTCCCTACAGGATATTCCTCTCTCTACTCCCTACAGGATGTTCCTCTCTCTGTTCCCTACAGGATGTTCCTCTCTCTACTCTCTACAGGATGTTCCTCTCCCTACAAGATCTTCTTCTCTCTGTTCCCTACAAGATCTTCCTCTCTCTGTTCCCTACAGGATGTTCCTCTCTCTACTCTCTACAGGATGTCCCTCTCTCTACTCCCTACAGGATGTTCCTCTCTGTTCTCTACAGGATGTTCCTCTCTCTACTTCCTACAGGATGTTCCTCTTGCTGTTCCCTACAGTATGTTCCTCTCTGTTCCCTACAGGATGTTCCCCTCTCCCCTACAAAATGTTCCTCTCTGTTCCCTACAGGATGTTCCTCTCTCTCTCTCTGTTCCCTACAGGATGGTCCTCGCTCTACTCCCTACAAAATGTTCCTCTCTGTTCCCTACAGGATGTTCCTCTCTCTACTCCCTACAAAATGTTCCTCTTTGTTCCCTACAAGATGTTCCTCTCTGTTCCCCACAGGATGTTCCTCTCCGTGGACAAGCCTCCCATTTTTCTGGCCCGCTGGTACCGTACCCTCCACGACAACATGGGTATCGTCATGTTCATCATCAGCCTGACAATCCTCATCGCCCTCATCCTCTTCCTCTTCTCCGCCCACAAGCTGAAGGAGAAGGAGGATGAGTCTGACGACCAGTTCATCCACGAGAGAAACGGATGGGAGACAACTCTGTCCAAATTTGTCGAGAAAGGGGAGGTCACTGTGGATGATATTAAAGAGAAAAAAGACAAGAAGGAAGATGGTAAAAGCAAGAAAGAAGATGAAAAAAAGACGGATGAAAATAAAAAAGATGAAAGTAAGGAAAGTGATGATGAAGATGATGATGATGTTGATGATAAGAAAAAGAAAGAGAAGGATAAAAAGAAAATAAAGGGTAAAACTGAAAAGAAAAGTAATAAAAGCACGTCAGAAGATGAGAACGAAAATGCTTTTTCGTTTGACACCAATTTTTCATCTTCAAAGCGTAGCAAATCTACTTCCTACTTCACGACGCCGGCAGAACGAGACTTGGCGAGATCTTGGCCTCGGAGCAGCAAATCTCGTGACAGGAAGTCGAAGAAAAACCGGAAGTCGTCCGGGTTTACCGTCTACCCGGCGGTGACGAGGGACCTGGCGCTGAGATGGCTGGTCAAGAACTGCCCCCACCTGCGACAGCTGGACGCCGCCATGCAGAACTCGTCTAACCTCCCCCTCTTCGATCTGTCGCCAGACCTGGAACCGCTCCTGTCATCGTCGTCTGAGACCATAGACTTCGTGGATTCTTCCACCACAGATCTGCTGGAATCCTCCACCACCTCAGAGTTTATCGATTCCTCCCGCAACAACGGTCGTCCATACCCCGGGGATGAAACAGTGAGAAAACTAAACACTGAAACGCCGGCTTTTGTCGCTGATCACCGCGATTCTCGCCTGCACGATGATACCGAATCGATTATTGATGGAATCGATTCTTCGAAAGCCACACACGGCTCCCAACTTAAACGGTTGGTTGAGGGTGGGAAGAATTCTTTTCCAGTCCTCCCGTCTTGCTCCGCTGTTCAAAGGCTAGCGAACAGCGGGGCGCGCGGTGATATCAGCGGGTCTCACGCTCCGCATCAAAGACAGCATGCGGATTACAGAGGTCATGTAGCAAGCTTCAACGGTCCTCAGGTTAACTATGGCGGGCTACCCTATTTTTATAGGACGGCGCATGTCGATGAAGATTTATTTTATTTAAACGACGTCGAATATGACGCAGAAAACTATGGGGGTTATGTGGACGACAGCGGGTCTCATACGAAATATGAAGTGGTTTATCCAGAATTTTCAGGCAGGACACGAGTAAAGCCCAACAGAGTAAAATCTGACCGAGCAGGCAAAATAAAAAAATCCAAAGTGCATCAAGGTATGCGGTATCAATACCTACCACAAGAAGACACGGTCTGAATGAAGTAATAGATTGACCGTGGAATTAACGTAACACAGCATGCCAAATAGAACCTGGATCATTAATTTGTTTCTGAGAAGCTATGACAGAACTCAGCGAGCAGTTGTGTAAGGGGTTTTTAAAAATATTTTTTTCGGTGTTTTTGTTTTTTTTGTGCGGCGTTTCGGTGTTTTGCCGTCTGGGTGTTTCGGTCTGTGGACAAGCCCCCGCCGCAACAAAGGGGAGATCAGTCTTTGTGATAACTCTGTCCCCGGCGTGGTGTGCACCGGTTGCACCGTCGCGATGAAATTTATCGCTGCGCGCGAACAAAACGCGAAGGTTTTGTCTTGGAAAATTTATTGGCTGTAGCAGTGGTGAGCGAGGTTATGGTCGCGGGATGTGGACATTTTTTTTATTAAACGGGCCAATTAACAGGGGGAAATTCCTACAAATGTATATGTGATAGAGTCAAGATATACTCAGGTAAAAAAGGGGTACCGCTGTGACGGTCTAATCTAAGGGAATCTGGGGAGGTAGGTATGGCTGGAGTTACCTGAAGTAGGTGTGAAGTAATTTGGCACGGCGCAGTTAAAGATTTTGTAATAGATGTGTGTGTGTGGTGGTAGAGGGAGTTGTATAATAAGTGGTTGTGTTTAGGGGGGGGGGATGTTTAGTGTGTGGTTGTATGTGGTGGGGGTCATGAGGTCAGGTTAAGTGCAACAAGTGTAGCTTCTATTTTATAACTTTAGAATGGATAAGGATATATATATATATATATATATATATATATATATATATATATATATATATATATATATATAAAGAGGTTTTTTTGAGATATGAATTATGTTTTTTTGATGTGTTGAATTTTGTATGTGCGTGTATCAATGTGTGTAGTGAGTATATTAATGTTTGTGTGATGTTATTTGTGTATGTAGGTCTATGTTAATTAAAGTTTTGTTTATGATCACCGCTAATTAAACCCATCAAAGTGACACCTCTATACCTATCACGTGACACTCTCCAGAGCTATCTTCATTGTCTAGCTCCTAGAATGTGCCCCTTTACTTCCCGCGTTTCATTTATTTTTACCTCCTGCTTTAAAGAACGTCCTACTTGCAAAACTACTTACTACTTGTCAAAAATTGATCATCTGCCTTTAACTACTTTACTTCCAATTTATGCTACATTACTTCCTACTATTAACAAGTTTACTTACTACGTATATGACAGTATATGTTGATGATGTATTAGTGTATAAGCATTTTCGTTGAATTTGAAAATTGTATGAAAATTGAGATATAATTATTTTATAGTATAGAATGCCTGAATTATTTTTAGAATTTGTTATAACCTTCATGTACTTGTATCTTAAGCCTTGCTATTAAAAGAAATTAATTCGTGAGTTTTAATTTTCACTCCTTTTTATTAATTTTATCAATTTTAAAAGGTAAACTGATATGCGCTATTCAGGCATGGTATATAAATGGTAAGCTGAGATGGTAGATTCATATGGAGAGGGTATAAAGTAATTTTGGTATATAAATGGTAAACTGCGATAGTGCGGAAAGCAGAGTTCCTTCCAGGCATCTCTTCGGGGGGGGGGGGGGGGGGGGGGGGGCAAAGCCCCCCCCCCCCCCCCGAAAAAATTTTTCCGCCCCCCCCCGAACGAAATGAAATTCATATAATTTAAATAGAAAGTATATACTTTTAACAGTGTCCGCCCCCCCCCCGAAGAAAATTTACCGCCCCCCCCCCCCGAAAATTTCAAGTGCCCCCCCCCCCCCCCCCCCCCCCCCCCCGGAGAAAAAAGTCTGGAAGAAACACTGGCGGAAATTGCCAGAGTAAATCACAGACACATACAAGAGGCAGCTGCTGGCAGGCCGACCAAACATTCAACTAACTGGCTGGTAATGTTTGGGCAGATTTTTGGTGAATCTAGCGGCCAAATCAAATAATATCATAAGATATTGATGGCCAAACAAATGTTGGACTACTATCAAACATAATACATGGTCAACTGGGGCATGTTTTTGGTGAATCTAGCGGCCAAACTCAAATAAGATCAAAAGATATTAATGGCCAAACGTATATTGGCCGACTATAAAACATAATTCATGGCCTACTATCGACACTAGCAAACATGGTTGGAGGCCAGTTATAGGTTCTGTGAATTGGCCAAACGTAGGTACAGCCAAGCATCATTCATGGTCAGTTACATTGGTGCTCATACATTATATTTATAACCACATAACATTATTGGCCAAACTTAGCTACCATCAAACGTCACTAACGAACAAGTTATCAATTATGTATTTCTCTTTACACGATTAATTTTCGGCAACCTACATTTTTCTTACAAGATATTCTTTTAACGAGCTCGTAGCCCATCAACTTATTTCAGCTCCTTGAAGCCTCGTTGCCCGAATGTTTTATGGCCCTGTATCAATGTTTTACACGGGTAAATATTCGTGTGGGTCCCACGGTGGGAGGACCGAATCTTTCTCACGGAAGTAATGAGGCTACGGTCCAGTGGGCACGCCTCGGAGGGCATCCACATAGACAGGAAAGATATTCACGCAGTTCAACGCAAATAAAACTAATCGGCCGAGCATGCACGCAGATCTACTCCGGTAAGGAAACAATAAGAAGAAAGCGAAAACACAGGAAAGTTTTATTACATTATTCATCCCGGAGACTCCTGGGAAACTCGTTTGTAACCATTTTAAAACATTTTACACAAATTCGTACACGGTTCGGAATTATCACTTGAAAAAAAAGAACCATTTCAGAATGCATATTAAGCATCAAAGAAGCAGCATTGCAAGATATGTAGTAATTATTTTGTTTCGCTTTCTTTTCTCATGCATATTTTTCATTGACTGGCAAATCAGTCGTAACGCTTGAAGACAAAGAGAGCGATATAAAAACAAAACGTTTTTATTATAAAGGTATGGAATAATATTCAGTCCCTATTCGATGTACAACAGAATATGGTTTTGGTTTTTTTTGTTTTTCGTCGTTCCACTACATCATTTTGTAAATTTCCTTAGTTAAAGTTTAATATTTATCTCCACGACAAAATGACTTCAAACGTTGTTTTTTTTAATGGTGATGGAAAGGTTCAAGACACACCCTACGGAAACTACTCAGTGTTTTGTTTTATTTTACTTTACTCACTGTAATAAACGGGGGGGGGGGGGGGGTTGAAAGACTGTGTCCGATCAACTAGTTAGTAAAAAAAAAAATTTATAACCATCTTGTTTTTAATCGTAAAAAAATAAATAAAATGTTGAACCGAATAGGATATGCCTTCATGCTGTGCGCGGATCTCTGCCTATCATTGAGTAAATATGAACTTCTCTTATAGTACGTACTTCTACGACTTATGTGTGCGATATTTTCTTTGTGCGCATTTCACCGTGTGAGCGAATTTTTATACCTAGCGGATTTTCTAAATGCGTGTTTTTCTGAGTATGCAATTTCCCGTTTGCGCATCTTTCTATGTGCGAAATTTCTAGATGCATTTTCTGTGTCCGCGTATCATTTGTCCGCAATTTTCGGTTTCTCATTTTTCCTTTGTAAGTGTTTCCTTCATAATTCGTCACATTTCATGATGTCAAAAACAAAATTTAATTTAAAAAAAAAACACTCGTTACCATCCATACATAATATTATTATTATGTCCCCTTACCCTCATGGTATCTGTTTTAACTATTGTTGTTTTGATTAAGCCAGCTTATTAGCATATTTTGAATCTGCATAATCCTTGTCTTCTACAACGTGACACGCCATATTGTCTTAAAACTATTAATAACACCTCACAATTATTTCACAGATTGCACACAGGGCTCAGTATTAAAAATGTTCCATTTAGATTTCTCTGACATAATTATATTACTAGGTTTAAAAAAAAATATTCCATGATTTCTCAATCTTTTTCTTTGACATAACGAATCCCGGTCGCCCTATGCTAAAAAACGTCCAAGTCGTGCATCCTGTTTACCTACCTTTATTTCGGGTTGTGGCTGTGGTTGATGTCTTCAGTGTACACGTCCTGCATGATGGTGGCAGGCACTGCGACATTACGGATTGGGGTAGGGGGGGGGGGGGGGGGGGGGGGAGTCGAATCAAGATGCTTGCCGCTATACAAGCTAAGTACGGAATGTCAATAAATTATGATAATTAGAATTCTCAAATAAAAAGATTTCTCATAAAAACTGGGCACCTCTGATTTAGTGCAGCTCAAGATTAGCTACATAACTTATACTATCTACATTAGTTTATTTCTTATTAGAGTCCCTAATTAATTATTCTGTTGAGGGTACCAGACATTTTTCTTGGATGTTTGTTGAATAGTCGTGGGCCATTTTGATTGTTGACTAAACTGGCAAGTCGTAGGTAAGGCTACTGTGTATAGACGTGGCCAAACTGCAAATCAGCCATATACTTTACGGTAGGCCCACGGTATAACAACCAGACCACTTAGATACCACATACTGTATGCACCACACAGCCACAAAAGACCCACACCACACGGTAACGCAACACACAACACATAATAAAATGATGAATACGAATAAAGAAGACAACGAAAAAATTACGAAAATATTATATTTTTACATTATCTGTATTGCACATTAAAAGTTCGCGAAAACAAAAACTCAACACAATAATTTGACCCCACAGTGTGCATGAATTTATACAACCACAATTTTAATAGCATGAAAATAACGATCAACAATTCATCGTATAATAATAATAATAATAATAATAATAATAATAGTTATAATTGTTATAACAGTAATACATGCATACACGTATATGTATTTTTTAACAAAATATTTCATACAAAATAAATGAATTATCTGTTAGTAACACGTTCTGTTTCAAGTCAATAAATAATTCTAGTGAAATTGAAATAAAGGGCAATAACTGAGTGCATCTACATTACTAAACTGGAATGTCCTATCTATACATTCGACTATTTAATTTTAATTGCCAGATAGTGTGTGGTCAAATATGACCGTTGTAGAACCAGCTCTAGTATAGGCAGCAAAGGTGGAGTCTGCACCACCAGAACCAGATCAATGGAAGCAGAACCAGTAGAACCTGCACCACTTTAGACAGCACCACTGAAGCCAGAACCAGTATAGCGAGCACCACTCGAGCAAGACCAAGTACACCACACAACGCGACGAACTTCAGCACGCTGGCATTAGAAGAGAAAGCAACTCTTAACTTTCTGGCTTCCCCAGAACGACGTGTAGACTTCACTACGTTACTACCCTGGCATCTGGTTGTGAGTGGTGGTCACGCCGATAGACGACTCGCATTCAATGCGAATGGGTCGAGTTCGGGACACATGAGGAAACTAGCCAGGGGTTCTACAATTAGTATCTGAGTGTACACATTAAAATGGTCGAGGTTCTTCTTGAAACATGTCTCGTTTTTTCTTTGCCCGTAAACGAGGTATAGTGGAACACACGCAGCATTTTACCTGAATATCAAAGTTCGTGTTTTCATTGAGTCAGTAAGTTTTGAAACTTCAGTCATGTTATCGTTAAATAATTCTTATAAATAATATGCCCATAGAATAATGTGCGGTATAACGTGAAATTTTGGCTACCTGCATCCATAGCAGGTGAAATTTTGGCTACCTGCATCCATAGAAGGTGAAATTTTGGCTACCTGCAAGCATAGCAGGTGAAATTTTGGCTACCTGCATCCATAGAAGGTGAAGTTTTGGCTACCTGCATCCATAGCAGGTGAAATTTTGGCTACCTGCAAGCATAGCAGGTGAAATTTTGGCTACCTGCATCCATAGCAGGTGAAATTTTGGCTACCTGCATCCATAGCAGGTGAAATTTTGGCTACCTCCTCCCATAGCAGGTGAAATTTTGGCTACCTGCATCCATAGCAAGTGAAATTTTGGCTACCTGCATCCATAGCAGGTGAAATTTTGGCTACCTGCAAGCATAGCAGGTGAAATTTTGGCTACCTGCATCCATAGCAGGTGAAATTTTGGCTACCTGCAAGCATAGCAGGTGAAATTTTGGCTACCTGCATCCATAGCAGGTGAAATTTTGGCTACCTCCTCCCATAGCAGGTGAAATTTTGGCTACCTGCAAGCATAGCAGGTGAAATTTTGGCTACCTGCATCCATAGCAGGTGAAATTTTGGCTACCTGCATCCATAGCAAGTGAAATTTTGGCTATTTGTCCTAACTGACGGGGATACTTTGGCTACCATCAAACACCCACGTGGATATAATGGCTACCATCAAACACCCATGTGGATAAAATGGCTACCAGAACTTGCATCCACGACTTGCTAATGCCAATCTTGACAGGAATGTTTTTATTTTTTATTTAGGAAAACAATTTTTTGTTGCCTTTTTCAGGTTTTCGTGGTTTCCAGAGATACACCCGGAAGATTCTAGATTATTTTCTTACACTGCTAACTAGTATTCTTTAGAACAGCAGAAGTGTTTCTAAGTCACGTGACGAATTTCTGCATTGCTGATTGGTTGGATTAGTTTATTTAGAGAACGTCCGGCTATGTGGGGGACATTGACGTCACAACCGGTCCGTGGTCTTTCAGCTGTAAGGGAAACATGGAGACCAAAGACGGAGAGCTGGTACAGAACGAGGTCATGGACTGGCCAATCAGAGGCAAGAAGCTCGGGCTGGTGAAGCAGAGTCTGGGGTCGGGCGCCAGGCCGAACCCCGGGAACCGGTTGGCCGTGAAGCCGTAACTGTTCAACAGGGCCAACTTGGTCTCCAGGATCTGGCCAGCGTTGGGTAGGCCAAGTGGAGCGTAGCTGTTCAACGCTGGGTGCAGGGCGGCGCGGGGTTTGATGGGAAACGTCGACGGGGAAGGTTCTGGTTGATACGGTCTTGATGAGTAAATCAGGGGCGGCGCCTGTGGCGAGGCTGGGGGTGAGGTGCAGAAGCGTCGATAAAACGGCCGGGGGTCGGAGCTTGTCTTGGCACTTTCAGACTCTGTTTTTCTTGTGTTGGGTTGGAATGCGAGCCGTTGTTCCTCTACCGTGTCTCTTCTCTTACCCCTCCCGCGCGTCGGGTCCGGTGAAGTGCTGACCTCCGTGACGTCCGGGCTGCAGAGGCCGTGACCTTTGCTCTCGGGGTGACCCACGCTCTGTGTGTCCTCCTCGCTGGACATGGTGTCCTCTACGTCGATGGGCTGGTCAGCGTCGCATCTGTCGTGGCATGCGGCATCGGACGCCGCACTGCTGGACGGCTTGTCGCTGTCCGCGTCTTGACCTCTTCTGGACTTTGATTTGACCTCTGTGTCTGCGGGTCAGAAAATATTTTAACTTTTCGTTAAGGAAGTTCTACATATAGCGCTATACGTATGAAACATCAAATGCTAATATTTCAAAGTAGACGATACGTTAAAATTGAGATATAAATTTTGTAAAAATTTAACGGGTTTAACTTCTGAACGAACGCATTGTTTCGTTAACTATTTTATTCAACTAAAGTACTAACCACGTTAAAACAGTGAATTATTAGTGAAAATCTAATAAGTTTTGCTTAGTGGCTAATTAATGAAAGAAATATTCCAAGAGATGCATTTTAATAAATTATAATTTTAAGAAGTCTAGGTTTCAATTCTCGTAAATGAAACTATTGAAAGTATAATCTACTTAATGTTCTGACTTCTGATATTTATTTCTGCTCATAATGACTCGATAGTTCTGTTGTTGTTTCTATAAAAATAGTTTGTGAAAATGTCAACATGTGTACAGCCCTAAAGGTGTGTACAGGTAGGTTTCTCTCACCTGTCCGACTGCCAGCCTTTCGTTTCTTCTGTGGTGGGGATTTCCCCGAGTCACAGTCCGTGCAGTCCCCGTCACACACTGCCCCGTCCCCGGGTCGTGGGCTCAGGTCCCTCCTGGGGCCCTCGTAGCTGACGTCACTCCTCCCCTCTGCCGTCAGCGGCTGGACAAGACGGGGGTAGGAGAGCCCGGGGACGGAGAGGTGGGGAGTACCAGGCGTGCTGGTACTGGGAGAGGGGCACCAGGGGTAGGTGAGGCTGGGGGTAGGCGCCGGGGAACCTGTTGAAAAAAATAAGACACTGGTGTTGTACAATGGTAATTCTTATCACGAATATCTTAGACAATATTATGCTATTATAAAGTATCAGTTTAATAGAAATACAAGTAAGTACTAATGTACAATGTGGTATATTAAGATGAATTAGTTTGTCGGTTATTGATTGAAGGTAAAGACAAAATTAATTTAGTTTTTAACTAATGGCATACGACTAATGAAATTTTGTCAGCTACAAAATGCTATTTTAATTATTAAAAAAAATGTATCACTGATTCGATCTGAGTTTATTCCAGGCATCCCCCCCCCCCCCCGAACGAAATGGAATTTATAAAGAAAATATATACTTTTAGCAGTGTCCCCACCCCCCGGAAATTTCAGTACGCCTCCCCCCCCCCCCCCCCCGAAAATTTTCAAGTCCCCCCCCCCTTCCCAAGTAAAAAGTCTGGAAGAAACACTGAATTCGATTCAATGACCAACATGTATTGTAGTGTAACAAACACAATGCTACATATGTTTTACCTGCTCTGTACAAAAAGTGAAGCCTTACCTGGCCATGACGTCAAAGGCCCCAGGTGAGCCCGGCATGTCTGGGCCGTGGACGAGGCGTTCCTGAGGATCCTGTTGATGGAGCTGACGCTGGGGATGGTCGTGTCGTCACACACGCGCTGGGAGAGCAGCTGGTCCCGGATCTCCCAGGCGAAGATGGAGGGGTTCTGCTGCTTCAGGTCTAGAATCTTCTTCACCACCATGGGCGTGGCCACTTGCTGGGGACGGGACACACATCGTAATAAATGGAATAATTGATCTAGAACATTCAGACTATGACAAGATATTTTTAAAAATGTAATGGCTGTTCTTGAACATTTAGAAAAGAACTGGACAGAGATCGTTAATGAATGTTCTTGAACATTTGGACAGTAAGTGGACAGAAATCTTTAATTTAATGGATGTTCTTGAACATTTGGACAGTAAGTGGACAGAATTCTTTTAATTTAATGGATGTTCTTGAAC